TTAAAGACATCAGCATTCATGTCCTCATGGTAGTCAGCGGTACGAGTAGATTCAAAAGTCAATAAACCACCTTTAACAAAACCGTTTGAACTACCGATGTGTACTATTATTAGTCTGCGCCCCTTTCCTGATGGTGGATTTAAACCAGTAGATAAATTATTTAAAGAAGCCTGTCTTCGACTTGCCAAAATTTATTTATGTCCCTCGTTGATCCATGTTTCATCTAAATAAAATATATTTCTTTTTTGGCTTCTCATTTCTTTTATAGTCCTTAGGTAATTTCTTCTCCATACTACAATATCGCTTCTTTCTATTAAAATAGACTTTCTGGAATGCTTTTTCCATAGAAAACCTATTTCTTTTAAAAGTTTCCATAGTGTGCTTCTACTCATTTCAGGGTAATCCTTATCATCTCGAACCGTTGCAAGAACTTTGTCTACTGTCGGAAATTCTTTTCTAAAGAAGAACGCCATGCACTTTCCTTCGAAGTCTTTCTTTCAAAAGATTTTCTAATTGAAATTTTGGTTTTCCTGGAGCTTTACGTGCTGTTTGAAACTCGCCACATTTCTCTTCTTTAACAACTCTGTAAATCGTAGATTTCCCAACACCAAGCGTACTACTAACTAATTCCACTGTGTCATCAACACTTTTACATAAATGTTTGTAAATGATTTAAAACAATTAAATATTAATGTTTTTTCATTAACTGTTAAAGGATCGATTTGTTGTCGTTTACGCGGCCCTTCCAAATTTTCCATGATCACACTAGAATTCACACTGCACCTTGCAAGTTGCAACTACACGACATTTAGTAAACTGTCAAGAATACACAACTTGGACCTCCTTACTAAATGGAAAACCTATAAACGCATTTTCGGTGAAATTTGTTGGGAAGGTATTTATCTACTTATAATTCGATTACTGTAAGAAATTCTTGGAATTAAAATAAAACAAAATTGGCAAATAGGTACTTATTGAAAATAATCTTAAGATACGGCTATGTAATCTTTAATACACAGGGCTTTTGACCTGTCCAAACCTTTTTCTATTGTTCTGTACAGCTTGTGTTTATAAAGGACCAATAAAAGACCCAAAACTTGTAATAGCTCAAGTACATTTATTACAATTTTAGGAAATATTTAGATTATTCTGTAAAAATATTTAAAATGACCTAAGTTTTACATTAGAAATGCTGTTTTATTACTCTCTCATACATAAAAATAAACTATAGCAAGGAGTAAACATCTTAAAGGTGAACACCTTATTGATATTGGCAGTATATTACAATTAATTAAAAGTAGTGTAGTACAGAGAATAAGCAATGATCTTTATATTGATTAAAATGATAAAATTTGTCAAATTAACCATTATAATAAGACAGTCTTAAGTAACATGCACCATAAGAAAACCAGATTATTTAGAAGATGCTTTGGCGTACGTAAAAGAATTTAATAATTTCCAAGATTTATAAGGTAACAACAAAATTAGAACAAAATGGATTTTGTTCTAATAATAACAGATATAAATTTTCAAAAAATAATACCAATTTTAATCAAAATCTAAATAGATTTCAAAATTTTTGTACAAAATAATCCACAATTAAATACACGTTTTCAGAATGTCCAACAAAATAATTATTCAACAAACATTTTAAATGTCCCTAGTCAGCCAATTAATGTAAAACCCATTCCACAAAATAAAAAATACTTTACAAACTGCCAAATATTTGGCGACCAAATCAGATTTCTGAGAATCAAATACCAAAACCGGTGCCGATGTCAATAATATCGCGAAATCCCAGTTTACAAACAAGAAGACCATTTAATTATAATAATCAATTTTTTCAAAATTCTAATCAAAATTCAAAACCAAATTTTGTTTTTGAAGAGTTACATTCAAACCAATATAGTAATTCTAACCCTAAATTTAAATAAGATACAGATTTGTACCATAATAATGGCGACAATTTAAATCAATATCAAAGTCAAAATGAATTTGATAATGAACAAATTTTTAATGCACATATCAACAAAAAAGGCAGCTCAAATCAAAATTATCAGATACTGGTCTTATTAAAAACAAAAAGATAGAAATGAACAATATTTGAAACAATTCATTACCTTAAACTCAAACAAATAATGATTGAGAGTGAAAGCAGGTAGAAATACGACCAAATCGGAGGCGTGGTTATTTACAATTATTTAAAATATTCATACAATTTCTTTTATTTATTTCATGAAAACTTTGCAATATCGTAATTTACCTAATCGTTGTAGTCATTAGTGGGGCTTTATGAAAACGGAGTAATAATTGTGGTAATTATAGTAGGAACCAAATAAATTAAGAATATTAATAAAAATCACAATATATATTTCAAATTAAAAATAAGAAAGATACCTAATCAGGGGTTGGTTTGGTGACAGAAACAATATTATCAATTTTACTATTTTATATAAAATTTATATAATAATTTCTAAATGGTAATAGTGAATGGTAAAAATAAAAATTATACCTAAATATATAGACTTCTTTTTGTGTACAAATTTTCTTCTAATCTTCAACCTCAGATTCGTCACTGCTACTACCGCTATCATCAAAGTTAATTATGATTGGTTCAATATTGTGTTCAATACGGTTGTCTACGTCCCACATTTTTTGCTCTTCTTTTAAAACATGCTGAATGCATTTCTTCCAGTCTTCTGCAGAAACATTTTGAATGGCTTCTTGTAGGTAACGTTGCACGTCCACTAATTTAAATGTTCTGTTTTCTCGTGCCACATATCCTTTTACTTGCGCCCAGATTAATTCTATTGGGTTTAATTCGCAGTGGTACGGTGGTAACCTTAATACTGTAATTCCACGACTTAACGCCATTTCATCCACTGCGAATTTTTTATATTTGTCTCTGTGTAATTTTGTTAACTGAAGTAGTTCTGCCTTTAAACTATCTTTTTTATATTGGATGTTTTTATTAATTAACCATTCTTGAATTGCTCGTTTTTTCCATGATTGTTTCGGTAATGATTCTAAATACCGACTATGATATGGGGCATTGTCCATGACGACGACAGACCCAGGTTCCACAAGTTGAATGATACCTTCAAACCATTTTTCAAACACCTCCGCATTCATCTCTTCATGATAGTCGCCTGTTTTCTTGGATTTAAATATTAATTCACCATTTGGTAAAAATACACTGTCGCTTCCTATATGCGTAACTATCAGACGACTACCTTTTCCAGACGGCTGTTTTAACCCAGTTGACAAATGTCGTGCACTTGTTATATGACCATCCTGCCATACTTTTTTGACCGTATGTCCTTGGTTAACCCACGTCTCATCCATGTAGTAATTTTTTTTTTATATTCCGAAATTTCTCAATTTTTCGGAGATAATTTCTTCTCCATACTATTATTTCCTGACGTTCAATGAGAATGCTTTTCCTGTCGACTTTTCCGTACGTAAATTTCATTTCGTGTAAAATTTTCCTCAAAGTTTCTTTACTCATTTGTGGGACCAATTCATGATCGCTAACTGCCTCCAGAACTTTTTGCAAAGTGGGCAGCTCATTTCTGAAAAAGAAACTGTGAATAGTTGTGCGTATACTGTTTTTGGCGTTTGTACTTCTCCATGAATTTTGTTTTCTCTTAGTATTTTGTAAACTGTTGATTTTGGTACACCCATATAATCAGAGCACATATCAACTAATTTATCTTTTGTAATTGTGGAAGTTAATGATGTTGGAACGCCCGGTTGGTTATTCGGAGGTACATCCGTAGAATTACAGCACATATGCACTAAGTTATCTTTTGGTCGCTGATGATCTCTTTCAAGACAGTGAAATACTCGAAGTACAATTTGTTTTTCACTTAGCGACCGAGATTTCGACCGTTTTACCTTTTTCGACGTTGAAGGCCCTTCAATGTCTTCCATTTTTTGCATAGTTTTAGAACGGTGTAGAAATATTATTATTTAATGTTTAATCACTTATTAGCACTAATATGTTCACCAATTGTTCTTACAACACGTCGATTACTTACTAACTTAACTGTAAAACTTACAATTCACACCGTATAATTCAAAACCCGATGTTACGCTCGTGGTTAGAAATACACTACTGAGAACGTCATCGACGAGATGGATTTTACGCGTAACAGACAAAGACACAAATATCGCTCCGTACACCGATGCCATTAGTTGTAACAAATACTGAACAATCCATAAAATAATTAATTTTAAATGATCAAGAAATGTATAAGTATTACTCATTACTGATTTTTGTTATAATTAATATCTTTTATTAGTACTATGATTGTTTATTATCTATAATTTGCCACAACTTACAACTCTACTACTTACTCTATTTTGATTCTGCTAAAAACTAGTAAGGTAAAATTGAGATATGACAACACGGTTTACTCTCAATCATTATTTGTTTGAGTATAGATTGCAATACGTGAACCTGACCAAAAACTACTAATTGATATAGGAAGTTTTAGGTCCATTATAAAATCTTCAGAAGCAAAGAAATATTCCTGAATGGTACTTGTTGATAAGATAAGTTCTGAATGAACTTATCTTATCAACAAGTATGGGAATTCAACAGATTAACTATTAAGATTTAGTGCCAGCGTTTTCTGAGTTTAATTCTAATGATTAATATGTAGACTTTATTCTTTGCAACTTTTATACATTTTTCGATGGCGTATTAGGTTTAAACGATTTGATAAACTTGAACTTGATTATAAATTTGACTCAACAAAAGTTAATGAGTGATAATATTGGTTAAAAGGGCACGACGGGCTGAAAATATTTGTCAGAATTATGTGGTGTATAATTAAATTAAATTATTGGTAAAAACTAATTTTTTTATAATAAAAAAGTATGCAAAGTCACATAGGTGTTACTATCTAGAAAAAATAGATAAGAAAGATTTACCTACCATAAAGGAAAATAAAAATATTTCCTGGAATCAAATAATGTGTACATTATTAACTTACAGCGATTAAACTTGAGGATAAACTGCCCTTTTCCTTGGAGCCGAAGTGTTCAATGACCTGCCAATTACTCTTCCGCGTCCCCTCCGCGGCGCTGCTGGACGCCGGCAGGGGACTGGTGTTGGCCGTCGAGGAAGGCGTCGACAGAGAGCAGCTGGTGTTCGTGTCCGGAAAATCGCCCCCGCTGAGTTTCGGCGCTGTCTTTAGGCTGGTCCATTTGCGAGTGCATCCTTTGCGACTGGACGTCGATTCCTGGAAACAAAATTAACACAATTAAGTTATTATTGGAACATGGACTCGTTTTTACCACTTTCTTTGTCAAGTATCAAAAATCAATGACTTAACTAATAGTTTACTGAATTTGGAAATATAGCAGTTAAAACAAAGATTTTTTGGTAGTAGTAAGGAAAATATTCAGAACTTAATAATGGATTTATTTAATAATAAAATGAAAATAAAAAATATTCGTGTAAATGATATCAAAAAGTGTTATCGAGTTCCAAATAAAAACGTCGATCCAACCAAACCAAGGACAGCTGCTGTTTTGGTGAGACTTTCTGTGCTGAAGAATAAAAAAATGCTTAAAACAACCGAAATTTATGTACAAGAGGATCTAATACCACAGCTTATACAATACAGCTCCACAACTCCGTGTCGGCGTCTTTGATCTGGCGGTCGAGAACCAAGCAAGACGGAATGGTGCTATCTCTGTTAGATTCAAGGGAAAAGTCGGGCCCGGATTAAACAATTTTTTTTATTATTGAAAAAATTGAAAACCTTGGCGTAATAAGGTTGGTTACATGCCATATTAAGTAAGTTTTGGGAAATTAAATTTTTAATTTGTTTTAAATCTGTCAAATATAATTAAAAAATTATTTAAATATAAATATTACGAAAAATAGCACATCTTTCGGATTGGAGGTAAAATAATTTGTATGTGGCTAGTAAAATCCTAGTTAACAAATGTTTTGAGCTAAAACAGTCACTTCACGACAAATTGTGACTTGGATCCTTTTAACACCAAGGGCTTCAATTGTTAAAGAATTTTGTCACGCTCGTGGATGCAAATCAAGTGGTACCCCGTGTGTCTCGCAAGTGTTACTCTTCGCGCAAAGGGTTTATACCTAGATAAACGAATGCTTCGACTGAGGTCTGGGAACTCTATGGTATTTTGGAATTATAAAGAATTTGTGCTTTTATTTTAACAATATTGGTTATATTTAGATGTATTCTTATTAATTGAAATACAGATTTGTAGAAGTAATACTTTGACAGTTTTTATTAATATAATATATTCAATTTTTATCTGACCATACCGAAGTAGGGAATTTTAAAACTTTATAGTAATGTGAAATTTGAATTACAATATTACACGAAATTACATAATTAGTACTTATTTTAGGTAGGTACTAAATTTGTACTTGGAGAAAGTAATATCGATTTTTACAAGAAAACTTGAAAAGTAAATTAATTTAGTTCCTATTTCTGATGTAAAACGTAAACCACGATAACAAATAAATAGTAGTTTGTTCAACAAGGGTAGATATGATAGGCATATCACACAAAGAAGAAGTTTGAGCACGACGTCGTAGGCGGAGTACTCAATCGTCTGATTGTGATATGAACAATCCACTCGATATGGTCAGTATATTTTTTCTACGGCCCACTAACGAAAATCTACAAATTTAAAAAATTATTTTAGGTTATTTAGACAAAATAACTAATTTTAAAATAATTTACGAAGTTGACTAATTTATAAAATAAAATAAACATGAAAAATTAATTAGTCCTCTGCCTAGATTCGATCCCGGGCTTTTCGCGTGGAAGGCAGATGCTCTGTCCTCATCTTCACCGAAACTTTCAGGACTTTAGTTTTAATACTCGTAATTAAATTAGTATCATGTAGTTTGATTAAAATTTATTTTTTTTAAATGTGGACACAATAAAAACAAAAATGCTATTATTTATCGAGTCTACACAAAAATTTTAATGTATATTTAATATCAATAACTAAAATATATATTGACAATTCGTTTAACAGAATTGTCGCTTATTTAAAAATTTTTAAATAATAGGAGTTGGGTGACCAAAATATGAACTGTGATTTGTAGATTTAATTTTGTTAAAGTTGAACACAATAGCTTACTTTTTCGTTTTGTAATATGTGCGTAGATTGGCTAATATCCATGCACAGATTACAAAACGAAAAAGTATGCTATTGCCTTCAATTGAACGAATATATTTCATATCCATTCTAGGTAGTGAGAACATTGCAAAAAAATAAATTCGCCAATCACCGTTCATATTTTGATCAACCGACTGCTATTATTTTTAAAATTTTAAATAAATGACAATTCTGTCAAACTAATTGTCAGTATATTTTTTAGTTATTGAGATTAAACATACATTAAAATAGGTTATTCTTTTGGAAAACGTTAGCATGGATGACTAAAGGGTATTGGGTTAATTAATTCTAAAAGTGTGGTACAAATGTTATTTTTTGTAGCCAATTCTTCAAAATTATTTTGAAATATCTTTTCAATATTGAATATTAGTTCTACAAATTCATCATTTGACAGTAGATTTCCAAATGTATCTGAATTGGCGTTATCATATGCCTTTAAAAAGCAATAAAAATAAAAATCATCTAATTTAACGTGATCTTTGTTATATTTAAGACAGGTATCACAGGAGTGGATCCGCAAGGCTTTTATTAAAAGGTAACCACACACATACCTGATAAAATTTTTCTGTAGCAATAATTTAGGGTGTTAATAATTTCATCATAAAATAAAATACAAGGTGTTCCATTTAAAAAACATACATTTTAATTTGCCAGGCAAAAACGTGACACCCTGTATATCCAAAGATATTTTTAAAATATGTAAGTATTTTTCAAATCCATATAACTTTTATTTAAAACTTTTTTGCGTGTCTACAACAAAATAATGAACAATAACGCACTAATGGGACACCCTGTATAAATTATATTTTTGACAATGAAAATTTCTTATAATGTGATACTTATCGGTTTGGGTCCTTGGGAAAACTAAAGAATGTTTTCTTGCAGGTATAACCCTTATTAAAACAGCTTTTGACTGCACAAACAGAATGATGTCTTTTTTTTTCACTCATTCTACTAACAGCTAAAGAGTCACCAAAATAATAACAGTACCTTTAACTCAAACAAAATCAACGAAATTATAGGCTCCACGAAATTATACAATCAACGAAATTACACGCACGACTCAACACCTTACCTAAGTACGGTTCTGAACGCCAAAACCGTCTTTTCCCTCCGAAGGCGGAGCTTAAGCGATGCGCGACGAAATCGACGCAAACCGTTGCCGCCAAGAGAGTGTTTTAGCTGTATTGTATAAGCTGTGCTAATACCATCCAGGGTGTTACTTTTTAAGGCTACATTATTCAAATTCACAAAAAAAATGTATGGTGTTGTAATGGCTGCATATTTTTAAAACATGACAGTAGTGACCATAAGCTGAAAGATGTTGAAGAACTTTAAGCTTTTATTGATTATAATTAGGTACCTACTTTAATAATTATTGAAATTTTCAAAATAAAACAAACAGAATAAAATCATAACGAAATAAATTAAAATAAATGCTTGTTCACACCCATTTTAAAGCATTTACCTAACTAATGGGGCACAGACACGTTATTTATAAATACAAGAAAATAAATATAACTTCAACCTTTTTGAAGTGGTGTTAAGGACAACATACCTCAGAACAAGACTAATTTGCTCAGTATGACTAGTGTCTGGTGTACAATCTAATCTTATTGAAACATATTTTGAACTGCGAACAATTTCTAAAAAATATTTCTTACTTTAGACGACAATAACACTGGTCTGCAAAAAAAAATTTGTTTTTCTCCTAATTGTTTTCATGCATGAATTCATCATATTTTATGGTCTAAACAAGGAATTTGTCATGCAAATAATTATAGCACATAGATTTTTTTATATCAGTCCATTTAATCAAAAAATGATATTATCAAAATAACAAAAATAATAAAAAAGTGAAAAATCATTACGATCCAAGTTTTACAGCGAAAAAAGATAATTTTACAGTCACAAATACTAAAAATATCAGTAAGTTATCGTATCATGGTGAAAAGATTGAAGTTACTTGGTCGTTTTTTTTCTTTTCATTGTTTCCATTGGAGTTTCTCGGTGGATCGACCAACAAAAATCAGCAAGCATTGCTGCTGACCATTTCCCATTGTAGCGTTTTTCAATTTGCATAATATCCTGATGAAACCTTTCACCATGCTCATCTGATACGGCACCAAGATTTTCAGGAAAGAAATCTACGTGCGAGTCCAAAAAATGAATTTTGAGCGACATATTGCATCCTAAAGCTTTTGTATTCCCGAGAAAGTTATGACACACTTTAGTAGATATACTATACGGGTACCACTATTGGTATAGGGAAATCAATGTGTTAGAGAGAGAGGTACCTATAGGTATGGGAAATCAATGTGTTAGAGAGAGGGGAACGATTCGCGCGGTGCGGGGGTGCGGGGCGCCTGGCACGAACCATGCGATCCCACTATGCCTCACCAAGTCCGCGCGAATCGTTCCCCTCTCTCTAACACATTGATTTCCCATACCTATAGGTACCTCTCTCTCTAACACATTGATTTCCCTATACCAATAGTGGTACCCGTATAGTATATCTACTCACTTTTACAAAAGCCACCCAAGCTCTTTTTTCTGCTCTGTTTAACTTGGAATTAAATGCTTCATCTGTCATAAGCTCGCGTATCTGTAGACCTACAAAAATTCCTTCTTTTAATTTCGCGTCACTGATTCGAGGAAATTTTGTTTTGAGATATTGAAAGCTTGCACCTTCCTTATTCATGCCTTTTATAAAATTTTTCATCAGTCCCAACTTTATGTGAAGTGGTGGCAGAAAAATTTTATCACTTGGCACTAAAGGTTTTTAAGACACATTTTTAAGCTAAGGAGTCAAGCTCTTTCTTAGTGGCCAAGTTTTCACTTGATAATGTTTTTCTCTTGTCCGACTGTCCCACTCGCATAAAAAACAGCAAAATTTGGTGTATCCTCCTTGTAATCCAGTAAGTATAGCGACTACTTTCAAATCATTCCATTGAAATTGAGAATATTTTATTTTTTCAAGTAATACCTCCAGATTTGCATAATTTTCTTTCATGTTTGTTGCATGTGTAACAGGCACTGATGGGTATTTGTTACCATTATGAAGTAA